GGGGCATCGATGGCACAACACCTAAATGAACTCAACACAATCACAACCCAGTTGAGTTCAGTGGAAATTGAATTCGATGATGAAGTTCGAGCTTTAATTCTCTTATCATCTCTACCAGACAGTTGGAATGCTACTGTTACAGCAGTTAGTAGCTCGTCGGGAAATAGTAAATTGAAATTCGACGATGTTCGGGATCTGGTACTGAGCGAAGAAATTCGACGGAGATAATCGGGTGAAGCATCAACCTCCTCGACCTTGCACACGGAGTCTAGAGGGAGAACTTCATAAAGAAATTTAAATCGTGGCAGATCGAAATCCAGAATGTGCAAATCAAGAACATGAAAGAAAGATTTTACCTGTTATAATTGTGGCAAGAATGATCACTTTAAAAGAGATTGTCGAGCACTGAAGAAAGATACCGGTGCACAGGAATCTGCCAACATGACAAATGAGACAGGTGATGCCATGATTCTAAGCGTCAACACTCTGATTGAATCATGGATCTTGGATTCAGGGGCATCTTTCCACTCCACCCCATGCCGAGAAATCATGAAGAACTATGTCAATGATGATTTTGGGAATGTTCATCTAGCTGATGATGAAACCTTAAAGATCGTCGGAAAAGGAGACATTCGATTAAAGTTGCCAAACCATACCACCTGGACGTTGAAAGGAGTGAGACATATTCCTGTCCTCAAAAGAAATTTGATTTATGTAGGACAACTTGATGGAGAAGGATATAGGACAACCTTTTTAGGCTGTGAATGAAAGATTACCAAGGGAGCACTCGTCATTGCTCGTGGTAAGAAGACTGGTACTCTCTATGTAACCTCAAATTTAGAGAATATTATTGCAGTAGCAGATGATGATGGAAAATCAAACCTATGGCACCAAAGGCTTGACCATATGAGCGAGAAAGGGATGAAGACACTTTTGTCAAAGGGGAAGTTGCCAGATCTAAAGAATGTAGATGTCAGACTATGCGAGGATTGTATCTTTGGCAAACAAAAGAAAGTCAGCTTTGCAAAGATTGGTAAGACACCCAAGGCTGAAAAGTTAGAGTTGGTTCATACTGATGTATGGGGACCATCTCCAGTTCCATCTCTTGCAGGCTCATTATATTATGTCACCTTCATCGATGATTCTACAAGGAAGGTGTGGGTTTATTTTCTGAAGAAGAAATCAGAAGTCTTTGATACCTTCAGAAAATGGAAGGCCATGGTGGAAAATGAGACTGGTTTGAAAGTCAAGCGGTTGAGGTCTGACAATGGAGGAGAGTACAAAAATAGAAGATTTAGAGATTTCTGCGCAAACAATGGGATCAAGATGGAGACAACAGTTCCCATGACACCACAGCATAATGGCGTAGCAGAGCGCATGAACATAACTCTGAATGAACGTGCCAGAAGCATGATGATACATGCCGGATTGCCCAAATTTCTATGGGCTAAAGCTATCAACACTGCAGCTTACTTGATCAACTGTGGGCCCTCAATTCCTTTGGATGACAGAATACCAGAGGAAGTTTGGAGCAAGAAAGAAATAAACCTTTCACACTTAAGAGTTTTTGGTTGTATTTCTTATGTACACATAGACTCTGCTGAAAGAAGTAAACTTGATACTAAGTCCAACAAATGTGTCTTTGTTGGTTATGGCGGTGATGAGTTCGGTTACCGGTTTTGGGACTACGAAAATCGAAAGATCATCAGAAGCAGAGATGTCATTTCCAATGAGAATGTGATGTACAAAGACAAGTCAACCATAGAATCAAGTAGCTCCAATACTGAAGCTGAAACAAAGAAATTTGCTGAGTTCGAGGAGATTTCTGGAAATGATGTTCAGATCAGTCCTGAAGCAGTTCAAGAAGAACCAGTCACACCAGAACTGAGACGCTCCTCCAGAATTCCTAAACCAACCCAATGGTATTCTCCTTCTTTGCACTACTTGTTGCTGATTGACAATGGTGAACCAGAGTGTTATGATGAAGCAATGCAAGTGGAGGATTTAGTCAAGTGAGAGTCTTCCATGAAAGATGAGATGGACTCGCTTATGTCAAATCAGATGTGGGAATTAGCTGAATTACCACCAGGCAAGAAAGCGCTTCACAATAAGTGGATTTACAGGATCAAAGAAGAGCACGATGGGAGCAAACGCTACAAAGCGAGATTGGTTGTCAAAGGTTTTCAACAAAAAGAAGGTATTGACTACAATGAAATTTTTTCTCCAGTCGTGAAACTGTCTACAATCAGACTGGTATTGAAAATTGTAGCTATAGAGAATTTACATCTTAAGCAGTTAGATGTAAAGACAGCTTTCCTTCATGGTGATTTGGAGGAAGAAATCTATATGAGGTAGCCAGAAGGCTTCATAGAGGCAGGCAAGAAAAACCTGGTATGCAGGTTGAAGAAGAGCTTGTATGGTTTAAAACAAGCTCCTAGACAGTGGTACAAGAAGTTCGATAGCTTCATGGGTATCAATGGTTTTACCAGATGCCAAGCAGATCATTGTTGCTACATCAAGAGGTTCGACAATAGCTTCATTATTTTATTGTTGTACGTTGATGACATGCTCGTTGCAGGCTCAGACATGCAAGAGATTATAAACTTGAAGCAAAAATTGTCGAAGTAGTTTGCTATGAAGGATCTGGGCGCTGCAAAGCAGATTCTTGGGATGAGGATCAAGAGAGACACAAAGTCAGGGACTTTGATATTATCACAGGCTGAGTACATCAACAAAGTACTCTCCAGGTTCGACATGCAAGATGCTAAACCAGTAAGTACACCTTTAGGTGTTCATTTCAAACTCTCCAAAGAACAGTCACCAAAGACGGAGAAAGAACGTGCACACATGGTGAAGGTACCGTATGCCTCAGCAATTGGAAGTCTGATGTATGCCATGGTTTGTACCAGATATTGCTCAAACAGTGGGAGTTGTTAGCAGGTACATGAATAATTCGGGTAAGGTACACTGGGAAGCAGTCAAATGGATCCTCATATATCTGCGGGGTACCACAAACAAAGCACTTTGTTTCAAAGGTGGAGATACGATACTGACAGGCTATGTAGATGCTGACTTAGCTAGAAATGTTGACATCAAAAGGAGCACTACAGGGTATGTCTATACTCTAGGAGGAACCGTAGTAAGTTGGGTTTCTCAACTACAGAAGATAGTTGCTCTCTCCACAACTGAAGCAGAATATGTCGCTGTTACGGAAGCTAGCAAGGAGATGGTTTGGCTCCAAAGTTTCTTGGAAGAGTTAGGCAAGAAACAAGAAAACAATGTCTTGTATTGCGACAGTCAAAGTGCTATACATCTAGCAAAGAATCTGTCTTTTCATTCCAGGACAAAGCACATACAATTGCGATATCATTTTATCCGGTCTCTTCCGGAAGATGAGATTTTGAAACTTGAAAAGATCAGTGGAGCTCAAAATCTGGCAGACATGTTGACAAAGACGGTGACCACGGACAAAATGAAGTTGTGTTCAGCTTCAGTTGGCATGCAAGAATAACAAGACTAGAAAAGCTACTGCATCGATCGAGGTGTGAAGACATATTAAAATCAGTCTTCAAGTGGGAGATTGTTAAAAGTCCAAAGGTTGACAACCAACTTTGAAAATGGTTTTCAAAGTTTGGTAAATGTTTCTTTGAAAATGGTTTTCAAAGTTTGGTAAATGTTTCTTTGAAAAATGTTTTTTCAAAGTTTGGTAAAGTTTGGTAGATGTTTGTTGAAAATAGGAATGAGTAAATTCACTTTAGTCATTGCACTGTAGGGTATTTTCAAATATTAGTCTCTAAGTTTCAACTATAAATACCCTAGCTCATTTAGCTTCAAAACCATCCCAAAAATCATTTCTTTCTCCTAATATTATAGAGTTTTCTTGTGAGTAGTGAGTGTTTTGTAAACACCTGTAAAGTTTCTCTCTTAGTAAAAGATCTGCAGCAGTCCGGAGACGTAAGCAAATTGGCTGAACTCCGTTACCAATTTCGGATATTATTTTTCCGTTTTTATTTCGCATTCTCACTAATCTGGTTATAGAAAAATTACTTGTACTCGGTTTATTTCCTAACACCCACAGCTAATAATTTTGCCCATCCAACAAAGGAGGAGCACCAACTCCAAAGCTACTAGAAGACATAATAAGATATTATAAAGAAGGTTTGGTCTTTTCTTTTGGGAGGTAAGCCCACTGATTTTTTTTTTATCTTTTTACACTCACATGCCCTTCCAAGATCATATTGTGGGAAGTTTTTGCATGAGCAGAATTAAAAATGGGAAGGAGAGAAACGAACCATTTTGATTCATTTTTTTAATATATATACATGAATACAGAAGAAGATAGTCAACAACTACTCCCTTAAATTCAGCAACATGTTTCCAGATTTTTTAGCTTGAAATAAGCTTCACCACAAATCTATTGACTGTAATCATTTCAGTCAACAACAGTACACATATGAGTTTCATTACAAAAAATTATTTGAACAAAATAAAACAAAATAAGCATCGTCACAACAAAAGTGCTATCACATATACATGTTTCTCATAATTTGGCACAAATTTATTGATCGCGGACAAAAATAGAGTTGTCTCATCAAAATGATCCTGCATCATATTATTTCATCGTTTTGGAAATCATGCCCTTTCTACCTTTAATCGATTCAGTGACAAATTCAATATTTGTCAATGTTGGCAGTTCATCGAATACATAGGAAACTATTATGCTTAAAAGTTAAAATTAATGACGGACCGTTTCGATCCAACATTATTATTACTTCATGAGAAAACAATAATCCATCTCTTATGTTAAACCATGATATCAGAGCTCAACGATGAAGGATATACTAGAAATGAAACATTTTTTTCTTTCCGTTTCGATTCCACGAACATAAACACTAACTGGAGTATCGGATTCGTATTTAGACAAAACGAAAAACAATACATATATGTGTATATATATATATACATGTATGTATGTAACTATATACAGTCATTGGCATTAATAATCTTAATCAATGAATCTATCCTTATCACTCAAAACAACGAAGCTGGTGGGAAAAACTTGGGGAAGAGCTTTGTACAAGAAAAAAATGTGAATAAATATCAAGTGCGATCCTGTTTCATCTTTGCTATGCATAAAACCAAAATTGAAATCGGAAATATCCTTGATGAAAGCGTCGGCCAGCAATCCGGTGAGTTCCAGTTTAGTATGAGTAGGAAAGCCATGGGTGTTCTAATGCTTCCTTTGCAGTTGGGCGCCTTTGAGGATTCATCTGAAGCATATTTCTAACGAAATCGATGAACAATACATCGGATACTTGAAGATGCTGCTCCAAGGAAGACTCTTCGGTAATAATGTATTCTAGTTGGTCCGTCTCCTGGATAGGAAAAGAAACTGTATGAGTTCGGTACGATAAGTTGAAAAATCGATAAGTTGAAAAATCGACTGCTCTCGACTTTCAAATTGGAGTTCTTCTGTAGTTTTAAACATTGAAACATATGTTGTGGTACTTCAGACTCCCGAAAATCGAAGAAGTATCGAAGTTTAGACGACTTCTGTCGATAAATGCAAACTGCAAACAAACCTCGTTAATGTGGTACAAATCATATTCTTCTGTGAAATACTTGAACGTCTCTTGCCCGTTCTCCAATATCTCCATGTCGAAAGGACCAAGCATTCCAACCATCCGCGCAAGGATCATCACAACTGCATCATTTGGGAACAACACCTACAAAAAGACATAGGTACTTAAAATGAGAAACGGTTTAAATTGTTTCCGAGGAACAGTTACTCCGAATCCGTGGCAAACATCAAAGAATTAAGGCTACAAAATAAAGTAGGGCGTTTATAAGAAACTCGAAATTGAACATATAGACATACTTCCCCAGAACATAGCTCGGCAAGGATACATCCAAGAGACCAAAGGTCAATCTTCTGGTCATATGGCAGGCCAAGGATTACTTCCGGGGCTCTGTAGGAGCGAGATTGAACGTATAGACATAGATTGTCTGACCGGAAGAACTGCTTCCAAGATCGATAATCTTTATCTCACATCGTCTATAACTTTTTATAAGAATATTCTCAGGCTTTAGATCGCAGTGAATAATTCCCAACTCATTCAAGTAACTAAGTGCCTCCAAACATTGTCGAGTTATGACCTGTCCAAGAGAACATCAACAGCAAATTATTCGAGTTATAGCTTAGAAACATGTAAGTAAATGCAATTGGGAGAAACAAAAAACTAAACGAAGAGTACAGGCAAGCCGGTAGCCGTTCGAACGAACCTGCAACCTGCTTAGTGTAAAATAAGCTTCTCCACCCGATTCTTGATTGAATTTCTGAAATTCATACAAGTTTGCTCGAAGCAGTTCACAGACAATGAAGAGGTGCTCCTGGACCGATTTTGCACAAGTCGTAAAGAAATCATTCGCATTAATACACATAATGAGAGGGGGCGATAGCCATTTCATTAATGTACCTGGTGTTAGAAATAGTCATAGAGACGCAAAACGTGGCACCTGTCTCCGGGATCATGCTTATTAACAAGCTTTAGAAGCTTAATTTCATCCAAACTCTGGTCGAAGAAATCTTTGTCGTTTTTTATGATCTTCAGGCAAACATAGATCCCCGTGAGAAGATCATGCGCTTGAACAACCTTACTAAAAGCAGCCGAACCCAAGTATTCGGTTACATAATACCTTCCAGCAATGACACTATTTATCACGATCGGCAGATCCTTGTTTTCTTCAAATCCAGTCCTGCATATGGCATAATATACAAGTTTTATGGACTAAGCGAGATGTGTTAATCTGCAGCACAATGTCTTGAAATAACTATAAAGAAAAGTATAAAGCTAACCTGATTTTGCAAATCGAACACTTCATCCTCATCCTCATTAGAGTGCATTTGAAGTTCATCCGTAGCACCGCCCTCTTCATTTGCAGCATCCTGAAGTTCACCGAGTTTTCCATCTTCAACTTCATTACTGTCAATTGTATCTGGTAATAATTTCTTCTCAAAAATCTTGTTCACTAGGTCAGAATCACCACCAAACTCATCAATAAAATCATTTGAACCCCTTCTGGCTGAGTAAAAGTTCATTTTTGATATATGTTCGGAAGCTCCATTATGATCGACGTCAATGTCTCCAGCAACCTTTAGCTGAAAATCATCAAAATCTGTTCATTTAGTGCCTATATAGCCGAAGTTGAGCGGATTTTCATCATAAAGACCTGGTCCCTCAGACTCATAAGCACGGTTCTTCAACCAGGGTACAATGCCACCTTCAAGCCCATTAGTTTTATCAAAACGATAAATGTAACCCCATAGACCCGGACTATGCATTTCGACTAAGTCTAGTGGATTACAAATACATTTTCCAAAACCGTTATCCAATCAATGTAAAATCACATTATTCATGACATGAAATTATAATAAATTATACTATTAAAACTCAACTCTTAAATATAAAACCAATCAGTAATAAATTAATTTAAAACATATCTTAAAAATCAAAACCACGATAAACTGAATAGTAATAGCAAAAGTATCATCATTATAAAATCAAATACTTTAAAATAGGTCCATGTCACCAGAATAAAGTCAACTTGCAAGATTAAGATATTACAATCAGATATACTTCAAGAGATATGTTGATCCTCCAAGTGCTCAAACCGAGATATCTAACCAACAGTATCTGAAAGGGGAAAAACATTTTCGAAAGGTGAGCTAGGCTCAGTGTGTCCCAACATTACCATAAAATCACAATAGGTACATTAAACAAATCATAGTCCAGTAAATCTCACAAATTCGTAAAAGAGTTTAACTTTTGAAAATCATAGTTTAAACCCTTTTCTGGTACACCATCAATAGTTCCCAAAATTATTTTCCATATAGCTTACTTTATGCACATAGCAAAAAGAAAGCCGACTTAAGGATAGGCTATGAAGCTTGTATCCTTAAGCCCAAGTCAATAAGTCCATATAGCTTACCCTAAGCACACAGCAAAGGAAAGCCGACCTAATGAAACATCTTGGGGCCCTCAAGAGTCACATTAGGCCCGTTTATTAGCTTGATCAGAGCTATACAATTGTAGTTCAATCCATCCCAAAATCAATATCCATATACCAGTTATCAAAGTCCATAAATCATCAACAATAAATCGGTGTACCAACAATAATAATCCATAGATTTCAATGTACCATATTTCAAAACATATAAAACCATTATGTAGTAAACAGGAACACACCTCGATAATGGGTTCAGATAGTAGATCTATTGATTGCTGGTTTCACCACGCTCTGCTACAGTTTTCGAACGGGTGAATACTGGTATACGTGGTTTAACTGATCTAGAAGAGCTGGGTCGAGCTGTCAAACGATCCGGAGAGTCTCTTGTACCTTCAAACAATAATAATTAATCAACCCCAAATCTTACTTAATTGTTCAAAGCTAAAATTCTTAAGTATATAAGCATTTTTCGGGTTTGACTATCATTTTGGGGTATTTTGAGTCTAAATTTGGCCAAACGGATTGCGGAATCGGAATTAGTACGTCGAAAAACATAAAGTATGACTTTTCGAAAATTCAGATTCTTGGTCAAAGTCAAAGTCAACAACTTTGACCATCAATTTGGAGGCCTTAGGGTTCGAATTTGACAAAACGGACTTCGGAAACGGATTTGGGACGTCGAAAACTATCATAATAGGTATACTCGGAAAATATTTACGGTTGTTTAAGGGTCGGTCAAAGCCAATTTAAATTTTGGTCAAAGGAAGTCAACGGTCAACGATCAACTGTCAACGGTCGGGTCGGGTCAGACCGGTCAAACCGGTTCATACCGGTCAAATCGGTTCATACCAGTCAGAACCGGTTTCCAACCCTCCACTCTCCCTGCGGCGGCGCGTGTGGCGCGTGAGGCCTTCTCCGGGGGTCTAAAAATTTCGGAAAAATTTCTAAAAATTATTTTGAGCGATTTCGAGATACTTACAAAGATCGGTTCAAATTTTTGAACGGCGGAGAACTCGATTTCAACTCGGTCGAATCTTTGACTGCTCCACCTCCTCACGCGTCGCCGTCGACGGCGAACAAGGTTGACACCGGCGGACTCGAAACGACACAAGGAACACGATAGTGCAGGAGGTGTCATAAACGGAGCAACGATCGGCGGTGAATTTAAGATTTTCCCGGTAATAGAGCTAATAAAAACGTCAAGACTTTGACTGTAAATTCCCGACGTTTGGCAGCGTTTCGCTTCAATTAAATTGAAGGGTTTTTTCCTCGCTCGATGATGAACACAACGGTGGTTTCAAAACGACGATCGGAATTCGGACGGCGTCTAGATCGGGGTCGGAAATGGATGTAGGGGAAAGGGAATTTGGGGTGAAACAGAAAACCACCCACGCATATAACATATATAACCAAAATTTACCTAATTGTATTGGGTAAATTCAGGGCTTAGTCCCTGAATTTTCTTTAACTCTAAAACATGCTCCTTATTTTAAAATCTTTTAATTTAGTCCCCAATTTTCGCCAATTTTTACAATTAACCTCCAATTTCAATTAAATATTATTTTTGTAAAAATTCGGGTTGTTACAATTCTCCCCCTCTATAAGAAATTTCGTCCTCAAAATTTACCTTATGAGAATAGGTGAGGAAACTGAGCCTCCATTGACTCCAATGTCTCCCAAGTAGCTTCTGAGGGGCCTCGATTACTCCATTGAAATTTGACCATTGGAATGCGCCTATTCCGAAGAACTCTTTCATCTCTTTCTAAGATATGAATGGGCTCTTCCTCATATGACGAATCAGGTCTCAGCTCCACCTCATCAACTTGAATGATGTGATCTAGATCTGGACGATATCGCCTCAACATTGATACATGAAAGACATCATGAATACGACTGAGCTCAGAAGGCAACTCAAGCTGATATGCAACAGGTCCTACCCTCTTCAAGATACGAAATGGTCCAATAAATCTTGGACTCAATTTTCCCTTACGCCCGAATCTCAATACTTTCTTCCACGGTGAAACTTTTAAGAAGACCTGATCACCAATCTCAAATTGTATATCTTTCCTTCTCTGATCTGCATAAGACTTCTGCCTATCAAATGCCTTTTTCAAACGGTCACGTATCAATCTGACTGTGTCCTCCGTCTCTCGCACTAACTCAGGTCCCAAAGTTTTCCTATCACGCAACTCAGTCCAACAGATCGGAGTGCGACATTTACGCCCATAGAGTGCTTCGTAAGGTGCCATACGAATGCTGGTTTGATAACTATTATTGTAAGCAAATTCAGCCAACGACAAAAAGTTCTCCCAACTACCATAAAAATCAATTATGCAACCCCGCAACATATCCTCCAGAATCTGAATCACTCTCTCAGATTGACCATCAGTTTGTGGATGAAATGATGTACTAAAATCCAATCGTGTTCCCAAAGCCATATGTAGCACCTTCCAGAATCTCGAAGTAAATCTCGGATCTCGATCAGAAATAATAGACAACGGAACACCATGCAACCTGACAATCTCTGAAATATACAATCGCGCTAACTTGTCCAAAGTATAATTTAACCGCAAAGGAATGAAGTGAGCTAACTTTGTAAGTCTATCTATAATCACCCAAACTGAATCTTTTTTCGAATGAGTCATAGGTAAGCCAGTAACAAAATCCATAGTAATACGCTCCCATTTCCACTCAGGAATCTTGATAGGCTGTAACAAACCTGATGAATGTTGATGTTCTGCCTTAACTTACTGACAAGTCAAACACCTAGCCACAAAATCAGATATGTCTTTCTTCATCCCAATCCAATGATACCTCTCTCTCAAATTCCGGTACATCTTATCTCCTCCAGGGTGCATAGCATATGGACTACTATGAGCCTCAGTAAGGATAGTCTGCCTCAACTCAGCATCATCAGGCACACAATATCGACCTTTAAAGCATAAAACTTCATCATGATCAATTGCGTAATCTGAGTTTGTCCCCTGCTCTACTTGCTCAAAGATGGAAAGCAATGAGCTATCAAGGGGCTGCTTAGCCTTGATCTCATCAACCAAGGTCGACTTAACTTGCAATTCTGCTAACAAAGTGCCATCGTCATATAAATTCATCTTGGCCATTAAAGACCTCAACTCCGATACCGTCTTTCGACTCAAAGCATCCGCTACAATGTTAGCTTTACCAGGGTGATAATCAATCACGCAATCATAATCCTTTAGAAGCTCCAACCAACGACGCTGTCTCAAATTAAGCTCCTTCTAGATCAGAAGATACTTTAAGCTCTTATGATCCGTGAAAATGTAACACTTCTCTCCATAAAGATAGTGTCTCCAAATCTTCAAGGCAAAAATTACTGCTGCCAACTCCAAATCGTGAGTAGGATAGTTACACTCATGCGGTCGCAGCTGACGGGATGCATAAGCCACCACCTTACTTTCCTGCATTAAAACACAACAAAGTCCTGAATGTGACGCATCACTATACACTGTAAAATCCTTCCCGGACTCTGGTTGAATCAACACTGGTGCTTGAGTCAAAACCGCCTTTAATTCCTCAAAGCTCTCCTGTTGTGCCTCGCCCCAGTCAAACGGCACATTCTTCCTTAACAACTTTGGCAAAGGAAAAGCAATGATCGAGAAGCCCTCAACAAAACGTCGATAATAACCAGCCAAGCTCAAGAAACTGCAGATCTCAGATACGTTCTTAGGTCGTTTCCAATTCATAATAGCCTCTATCTTGTTGGGATCGACCTGAACACCTCTCGTAGAAATAATATGCCCCAGAAACGACACTTCTTGAAGCCAAAACTCACACTTACTTAGTTTGGCATATAAACGATGCTCTCTCAAAGTCCGCAGAACAATCTTCAAATGCTCGTCATGCTCTGCCTCAGTACGAGAATAGATCAGAATATCGTCAATGAATACCACCACAAATTGATCCAAATATGGTCGGAAAACCGATTCATCAAATTCATGAAAGCTGCAGGAGCGTTCGTCAAACCAAAAGGCATCACTAAGAATTCATAATGACCATATCTAGTGCGAATGACCGTCTTTGCAACATCAGATCCTTTAACTTTCAATTGATAATACCCCGAACGAAGATCAATCTTAGAGAAAACAGTAGCTCCTCGCAATTGATCAAATAAGTCATCAATCCTGGTAGTGGGTATTTATTCTTGATCGTCATCTTGTTCAATTTCTGATAGTCAATACATAATCTCAACGACCCATCCTTCTTTTTCACGAACAGAACTGGAGCTCCCCATGGTGAAGTACTATGTCGAATAAGTCCTCGATCGAATAATTCTTGCAATTGGTACTTCAACTCCTTAAGTTCCTTTGGAGCCATACGATAAGGTGCCATCAAAATAGGTGAAGATCCTGGATAAGTTTCAATCTTGAACTCTACCTCTCTATCAGGAGATAACCCAGGCAACTCCTTCGGAAAAACGTCCGGAAACTCGCTAACTGTACAAATCTCCTCGATCGTGGACAATGCACCTTTGGTGTTCAAAATACAGGCAATGAAAGTCTCATATCCCTTCCGGATCATACGATCAATTTCCATCGCTGAAACTATATTGGAGAGATAGCCGCGACGTTCACCAATTAACACAACGGTCCGACCATCAGAAGTTTTCAGAGTAGCTCTCTTGTACTCGCAATCCAGATTTACTTTGTATTTAGTCAACCAATCCATCCCAAGAATTAGATCGAACTCCTCTAAAGAAAGCTCCATAAGATCAGCGAGAAAAAATTTCTCCCTGAACCTCAAGAGGACAACGCCGAAATACTTTATTCACTAATACCGCTTGTCCTACTGGACTAGTAACTGTAATAGTATTTTCAGTGTTCTCAATCGGAATCTGAAGGTTTCGAGATATCGAGCTCGATACATAGGAGTGAGTGGAGCCATTGTCCAGTAATGCAAAGTATGAGATATAATAAATAGTAAATATACATTCAATAACCTCAGGTTCATCTCTGTCATCCCGACGTCTAGTGGCATAAACCAAAGCTGGCTGTCTAGCCTCAGAAGCTGTTGGCCCTCAATTTTGCTGAGGTCGGGCTCTACTGTCTGTCCTGGACGCTGATCCTCGAGTCTTTCCTTGACTACGATCTCTAATTGTGGTCTGTACTGTAATCTGAGAACGCACAGGAGTCTGAGTAGCAGTCTACTCAAACGAAGCTAGCTGAGGACAATCCCTCCGATAATGACCACTAGATCCACACTGATAGCAAAGACTCATCTTCTTACGACACTCTCATGTGTGCTGTTTACCACAATACTCACAAAGGAGTCAATGATAATACGACGAGGAACCGTCTCGACTGCCAACTAACGGTGAGGATACTGCAGGCCTAAAACGTGTATTGCTTCTCTGAGGGGCCAAAATATGAGTCCTCTTCCCGGACTGTACTGATGACTTAATATTAGTCGCTCCTATGATCGATGTAGTCATGTCAATACCTGCGGCAGAAGGCAGATTCGTTGGGGTCGTAGGAGCAGGATCACCTAACGGAGGTGGGGGATCTACTCGTATCCCATCGATCGGGTCTGTAAATCTAGCCACTCGACCTCGTCCACGGCTAGTTTGACGACCACGTCTAGCACTAATTTTGATGGATCTCAAGTTTACTCTAGAAGATGAAACTTAGGGTTAGATAAGCACTTGGAGTCTCGAACACAGTTAAAAATCTTAATAATTTTGTGACATGGCCTTAGTAACTTGTTTTGTAAAATATTTCAAAACCGTATTTTCAATGTGGACTCATACACAGTCCGAGTGTTAAAAACCAAAAGCTCTGATACCAATAAATGTAACCCCCTAGACCCGGCCTATGCGTTTCGACTAAGTCTAGTGGATCACAAAGAAATTTTCCAAAACCGTTATCCAATCAATGTAAAATCACATTATTCATGACATGAAATTATAATAAATTATACTATTAAAACTCAACTCTTAAATATAAAACCAATCAGTAATAAATTAATTTAAAACATATCTTAAAAATCAAAACCACGATAAACTGAATAGTAATAGCAAAAGTATCATCATTATAAAATCCAATACTTTAAAATAGGTCCATGTCACCAGAATAAAGTCAACTTGCAAGATTAAGATATTACAATCAGATATACTTCAAGAGATATGTTGATCCTCCAAGTGCTCAAACCGAGGTATCTAACCAACAGTATCTGAAAGGGGAAAAACATTTTCGAAAGGTGAGCTAGGCTCAGTGTGTCCCAACATTACCATAAAATCACAATAGGTACATTAAACAAATTATAGTCCAGTAAATCTCACAAATTCGTAAAAGAGTTTAACTTTTGAAAATCATAGTTTAAACCCTTTTCTGGTACACCATCAGTAGTTCCCAAAATTATTTTCCATATAGCTTACTTTATGCACATAGCAAAAAGAAAGCCGACTTAAGGATAGGCTATGAAGCTTGTATCCTTAAGCCCAAGTCAATAAGTCCATATAGCTTACCCTAAGCACACAGCAAAGGAAAGCCGACCTAATGAAACATCTTGGGGCCCTCAAAAGTCATATTAGGCCCATTTATTAGCTTGATCATAGCTATACAATTGTAGTTCAATCCATCCCAAAATCAATATCCATATACCAGTCATCAAAGTCCATAAATCATCAACAATAAATCGGTGTACCAACAATAATAATCCATAGATTTCAATGTACCATATTTCAAAACATATAAAACCATTATGTAGTAAACAGGAACACACCTCGATAATGGGTTCAGATAGTAGATCTATTGATTGCTGGTTTTCACCACGCTCTGCTACAGTTTTCGAACGGGTGAATACTGGTATACGTGGTTTAACTGATCTAGAAGAGCTGGGTCGAGCTGTCAAACGATCCGGAGAGTCTCTTGTACCTTCAAACAATAATAATTAATCAGCCCCAAATCTTACTTAATTGTTCAAAGCTAAAATTCTTAAGTATATAAGCATTCTTCGGGTTTAACTATCATTTTGGGGTATTTCGAGTCTGAATTTGGCCAAACGAATTGTGGAATCGGAATCAGGACGTCGAAAAACATAAAGTATGTCTTTTCGAAAATTCATATTCTTGGTCAAAGTCAAAGTCAACCACTTTGACCATCAATTTGGAGGCCTTAGGGTTCGAATTTGACAAAAAAAACTTCGGAAACGGATTCGGGACGTCGAAAACTATCAGAATAGGTATACTCGGAAAAGATTTACGGTCGTTTAAGGGTCGGTCAAAGCCAATTTAAGTTTTGGTCAAAGGAAGTCAACGGTCAACGGTCGGGTCAATGGTCGGGTCGGGTCAGTCGGGTCGGGTCAAACCGGTTCATACCGGTCAAACCGGTTTCCAACCCTCCACCTGCGGCGGCGCGTGTGGCGCGTGAGGCCTCCTCCGGGGGTCTAAAAATTCTGGAAAAATTTCTTAAAATTATTTTGAGCGATTTCGAGATACTTACAAAGATCGGTTAAAATTTTTGAACGGTGGAGAGCTTGATTTCAACTCGGTCGAATCTTTGACTACTCCACCTCCTCACGCGCCGCCGTCGACGGCGAACAAGGTTGACACCGGCAAACTCGAAACGACACAAGGAACACGATGGTACAGGAGGTGTTGTAAACGGAGCATTGATCGGCGGTGAATTTAAGATTTTCCCTGTAATAGAGCTAATAAAAACGTCAAGGCTTTGACTGTAAATTCCCGACGTTTGGCAGCGTTTCGCTTTAATTAAATTGAAGAGTTTGTTCCTCGCTCGATGATGAACACAACGGTGGTTTCAAAACGACGATCGAAATTCGAACGACGTCTAGATCGGGGTCGAAAACGGACGTAGGGGAAAGGGAATTTGGGGTGAAACAGAAAACCACCCACGCATATAACATATATAACCAAAATTTACCTAATTTTATTAGGTAAATTCAGGGCTTAGTCCCTGAATTTTTTTTAACTCTAAAACAAGCTCTAAATTTTAAAATCTTTCAATTTAATCCTCAATTTTCGTCAATTTTTACAATTAACCTCAAATTTCAATTAAATATTATTTTTGTAAAAATTCGGATTGTTACAATAATAATCCATAACTCGAACCTCATTTTCTCCATTTATGCCGGCCATATTAAAAAGGCATGGTTTGTCCAAGTAATCAATGCCATCTTCGGTTTGAAATCCATCGGATTTGTCATACGAAATCAGCGTGTTATCACATTGCAGCTCGATCTCCGAAGTAGTGACAAACTTATCCTGACTGGGGCAGCCGTATAAATCCGACCCAGCAAAACAAGGAGTCAAGAAGAGGTCTTCCTTTTCGTCATCGTGCCAAAACAAGTCGCTCTGCATTTCGAAATCAGGATAATCGCGTGCCGTCCCGAATTGAGATAATCGATCGGAAGAAGTATCAGAATCAGCCTGAGATGCAGAATGAAGTCCATATGGATTCACAAAGTCTGCAAAAATGAAGGGAAAAAAACAGTTCGACTAATGACAAAAACGTACAACATTCACCTCTACATTATAGAGAATAGAGCAAAAACGTACAACATTCACCGCTAATGACAAATAATTGCGACATTATATCCCACAACGAACACCGGTCCACTTTCAAAACCACCGCCCTTACATTTGTTCATCTACAGTTCTATGTTCGTATGTGTGTCGGATAAGGATACCGATAATAAGATAGAAATATCAGTTATAAATCAATTAAAACCTTTTGTGCGCATTTCTACAAGATTCGAACTCCAAACCTTATTGTTTAATCAACATTCGACCTGATATCTAAATTTGACAATTACAACAACAAAAGTTCATCATAAAGCAAAAAAAAGAACAAATTCAGTTTAAATATGATTAACGTCTACTTAAATTCAATCAGTAAAAAGATCAAACAATTTTTTAAAAGAAAAAGTATTAGTATTTTTTTTCTTACCTGAAGAGCAAACATCACTAGAACAAGACCTCAAGCTGACGAATTCATCGCCATCACTGGAATTCACTTTCTGGTCCACCTCCGATCTCTGGATTATCGCTGGAATCCTCACCGGCTGCGGCATGGGGAACAAGAACTTCTCGAAATCAGAAGCACCTACTTTTTCTTCTTTTTCATTTTTCTCCACCATGTCTTGTTCGAGAGCTTTAACAGCTTCTTTTAAGCCATTCTTGCTCAAGAACTCAATCACATCTCCAACTTGGAAGCTCGCCTCCATGACCATGAAAGTAAAACTCCCAAGGAAAAAAAACAACAGTTCCCTCACCCTCTCTTTGCCTCTGTCGGGTGTGTTTTAGGTGTTGCAAGAGTGGAAATTAAGTGATTTTCGAGGGTCAACTGTGGAAAACGACATGAACAGAATACCATATTTCAGCTTCTGCATGTTATGTTTTTTTTTTCTTTTTCTTTGTTGTGAAACTTAAAGCCAGAGAGAGAGAGAGAGATGTTCTTCCTTACCAACTTGGAAAAGAGGGAGAGGCTGACAAAGGGTTTAACAGGGGTCTTCAGTTTTTGTTCGTAGGACCCATTTTCCTCTCATATACACGTGAATGAATCATATCCTCCCACGTGGATATTAGGATTTTCTTTTTCTTTCAAATTAAATGAACACTATGATCAGTTTATTTAGGGAAATATTATGAAAATTTTATTGAGTCTCGTGAAATTGTCCTAAATGAAAATGATCATTTATTTTTTTAATTTATGCCATCAAGATCTTTATTAATTATAGATTGTTTTATTCTGATCATATATAGTTATAAACTATTTTATTAAGATCACCCAATGTTATTAAAATCGGATCGGATCGGCCGGTTCGACCGGTTGAACCGGGAATCGGTTGCCTGTCCGATTCGGTCAGCCTCCAAAATCAGTTTTGTAATGAATCGCTAAAGAATCGGTAGAACCAGTTGGGAACTGGCAAAACCGATGTGAACCGGCAGTTCAAGCGGTTCACACGATTCTGTTTTTTTTTTAAATTAAACCAAACGACATTGTTTGTTATGATTTTTTCAGTCCCAAATTTATTTTCTGATTTTGCATCTAGGTTAAGTTATTTTCACGAACGTTTACAAGCGATGAACCCTATCCCTTTTCCACTTTGGCTTCCTTCATCACCGTTTCGTCTCCGGCATCATACTCCCTCACCGGCGTCATACTCCGTCATCGTTTTGTTTCATTTGATATTATGGTATTTAACTTATATATGTTATGACTTGTGATATTTTTATACCTTTTAATATTGTAAATTTAAAAAGAGTGTTATATATATATATATTAATATTGCTTTGGATATTATGTAAATTTTTAAAAAAAATATTATTTTATATAAATTGATTCAACCGCAGTTTAATTATAGTTGAACCAGTGAATCAGTACCTTCACCGATTTAAGGTCTGGTCCGATTTTAAAATCATTGAGATCACCACCAATTGTCAATGACCTATAACATTAAAAAAAATAAAACTTAATAAACACGTGATAACTTTAAATAAAAATATATCCACTTAAAGATAATATTATGTCAAACTGTTAATTTTAACTTAATTTTTAAAATAATTATTCAACATTCTCATTTTTTTAATTTTTTTATTTCTCTAAAAAATTCACTATGATCTTGTGTCCTTATTTATCTGTATAAATGCTAAATATAAACATATAATGATAAATATAAAATAAAAATTCTAATAATTATATATATATATATATTCAAAGTCAAGTGGTCGGGGACTATAATATGGCGATTTTCCCCAAAAATCACTCAGACCAACTTTATTTACCTGTCAGACACTCTTTCATCTTTATTTATCGATTTAACACCTTTTGTAGGAAGGTGCGACACATGCACCGCGTCTTACGCTGATCTGGCGCCAAATGGGGTAAGGCGTGGCCCATGCACCGCGCCTTATGCTAACATGGCGACACGTTGGGTAAGGCGCGGTGCATGGGTCGCGCCTTTTGCCACGTAGGGGTATAGCGCGGTGCATGAGCCGCGTCTTTGCTTTAATTCTGACACGCGTCAGAAAGGCGCAGTGCATGAGTCGCGCATTTGCTTTAATTTCGCAACCACCCGCCCGTTCACACCTTCATTCCTCCCTATAAATACCTCCATTCTCAATCATTTTCATCACACCAAATCCTCTCAACTTCTCTCAAATACTCTTATATTCTCTCATAGCTCTTTAAGATATATTTTATTATATTTAATATTTTGTTAGTATTTTATTTAATTATTTAAATTTTTAATATTTTATTTAATAATTTTTTTTGTGCAGTTATAAAATGGAAGGCGATCTGCTTCGTTTGGATGGAAATCATATATCGTGTAATTATGCTGATACGGTAACATTTTTATATTTTAATTTAATTTAAATTATTAGTAATAATTTATTTATTTAATGCATGATTATCAGTTTATAAATTAATTTATGATAATTATTAATATATTTAGGAGAGCGATCGTATATTAGATCCTTTTATCCGGAACCTTAAGTTAGCAATACCTGATCGTGTCTGGCCGTATTTAGACGAGGCTGGATTTGGTCACATAGTTAGATATGAAGGCCATTGTAGGATAGAACCAAACCTGATTTCTGCATTAGTAGAGCGGTGGAGGCTGGAGACTCACACATTTAATCTTATGTGCGGATAGTGCACGATTACTCTTGAGGATGTTTTCATGCACTTGGGGCTTCCTGTAGATGGAGATTTGATTTCAGGGATGACACACGATAACTGGAATACTTTGTGTCAGGAGTATCTAGGAGGTGTCCCACGAAATTTTAACGGTGGTCAGATACCGTTAAATTGGTTAGATGTAAATTTTCAGAATTTGAGTGAGGACGCCTCAGAGAATGAAGTTAAAATGTATGCACGGGCATGTATACTGCAGCTGATAGGAGGGTTGCTGATGCCGGACAAATCACGCAACCAAGTTTACTGTATGTGGTTACGGCATCTTGACGGTTTTCATCTGTCTGGATCACTTAGTTGGGGCTCAGTAGTTTTGGCTTTCTTGTATAGGGAGATGTGTCGAGCGACTGAATACATGAAAAATACTATCGGCGGATGTCTCCTTCTACTGTAGTCTTGGGCATGGTATCGCTTGCCCTTTTTATATCCTGTTTTGAAGAACTCGTTCGTATTCCCGGTGCAATTGAGGTAATTATAAAACTGATTTCGTATATTAATCATTTTGTCCAGTGTATAATAAAAAAATCCTTGAATAGGTGGTCTATTGACATGAAAAATCATCGGGGATCTACCTGATGAATTAGAAATAATCAGGCTACTAATCGATCAGAAAGCTGGCACAGAGGTATGCATTTTAATGTTTGAAAATCGATTTTGTATCATAGTATAATATTTAGATTATTATTTTGATAAGAATTACATATATTTGTTTTAGTTTGAATGGGCACCTTATTCCAATGATGATATGAGGATGTGCATCCCACCTGAGTTGAGGGGCCCATTAGATGTTTGGATGGCGGTGGTCCATTTGATCTGTTATGCGATTGTAGAGTGGCACCCCACTAATCGCGTGCTCCGGTAATTTGGTTTTGTACAACCAATTCCAGAAACACCTCGCAATATGGACCAGTTGCATAACATAGATCGACACGGTAAGATGGATACAGATTGCTGGTGAAGCATTATGAGTGTGTAACATCTTCAATACCGAGTTAATGACCAAATTGTAAAATTTCAGGAATTGGTGATTAAATTGGGATAATTGAATAGTTCAATGATTTATTGGAAATATGATGAAGGTTATTTAGTAATTATTGAATGAAGTAAAGGGTAAAATAGTCATTTGACATGAAAGATTTTTATTTTCCTTTATTAGATAAGGAATCCACGTGGAAGAGAAAAAAAGGCAAAATAAACTTCCAGAGTTCTTTTCTTCTTCTTCAGCCGTGAGTCACCATGGCAAAGGTGTGTTTTATGGTTAGTTGATTATTTGTTAAAATAAAAGTTGGTTTATGATTATTATATGATAACTAAGCTTAAGGAAAGCTTAAGTTATCTTAAAATCAAAGTATGATGGAGTTAGAAGGGATTAAAGATTTGAGGTTCTTGGGTGAAATCTTGAAATAGAGTTCATAACTAGAGTTGGAAGTTAAATTTGACTTGTCAATGGTATAATTAAGAAGTTAGAAGCCATAGAATTGGAATTAAAACATATTGCAAAGTTGGTTTAATTATTGAGTTACATATGAGGAAAAGAATTTTGAAGCTAAAGATGGTTTATATGGATATAAATTGGTTTAAGCAAGTGTATATGAGTTGAGAACATGAAAGGGGTTGAAAGATGAATCATTTGAGTTGATTTGAGTAGATTTTCAGGCTTAAAAATGAATTTTGGGCTATGTGCATCAATGCACATTCGAGGTGCACCGATGCATCAAGGGTAAATTTCCAGAAATTGTTCAGAGTATATCGATGCACAGGAAGTGCATCGATGCACCCATTAAAAATGGAAACATCGAATGTAATTAATGCATCGATGCATAAGGAGTGCATCGATGCACATGTTAAGGGATGCATCGATACACTGTAGAATGCATCAATGCACTTCAAGGGAAATAGAATTATACATTTCTTTTGGTCTAAGAAATGATAGATTAGTGTATATCAATTGGATACTAATATGTATCAATGTATGATTATATATATATCGAGCACGAACAAGTCCCGGAGCGATTATCAAGTTATGATTCGATCGCAAGAGAGGAAATTATAAAAATGGATTGGAACTTAGTGAGGCCAAGGTGAGTGTGTATTATTTTATATATGATGTTTAATGGGAAATAAGACTTGTGACAAGTCTAATTTCTATAGTATTGTGCATGAAGCATGAACATGAACATGTGTTTGTTATGAGTGTCTGAGTTATATGTTATGGTATGTGTTGACATGTTATTGTATATGTATTTCATGGTTGATGTGAATATATGCTATGTTATGATGATATGATAAGAAATTATATGAATATAAAAGAGAAGTTATGTGATAAGATCTTTGAGATATATAGAAATGGAATATAAGATTACGCGAATACATGATATGGGATAAATTAGGTAATAATATGGGAATATGGTAAAAAGTGAGTTTAGGAATGAAGTACTCAAGTGTAAAGGTTATATAAACAATAAGAATGTGAGTTGGGTAAGTGAATAGTGGTATGAACATTTATGTGAAATAGTAAAATAGAATTATATCATTGAATGAGAATTGAAACAAGATAGATAATATTGACCTATATGATGATATGAGACTTGAACATAAGTGATAATAGGAACATATAAGATGAGTTAGATGAGAAAGATATATATGCTTAAATAAAATTATGATATATGGGTTGTATGATGGAAATCTACGTAGTCATATTAGAAAGTTATAGGTACTATATGAATTGAATTAGGTAAATAGATTA